TATAATATAATATAATATAATATAATATAATATAATATAATAATATTTATTATATAATAAATATTATTATTAAAAATAATAAAATAATTAATATATATATTAAAATATATATATATTAAATAACATATATTAAAAAATATATATTAAAAATATATATATAATATAGAAATATATATAATAATATATGTAAAATATTTTAAAAATATTTAAAATATTTTAAAAGGATATAAAATATATAAATATATAAAAATATATAAATATATAAAAATATATAAATATATAAAAATATATAAATATGTAAATATATATATATGTATCTAAAAATATATAAACATATAAATAATGTATGTAAATATATATAAAATATATATATAAATATATAAAATAAACATTAAATATATCAAAATATATATAAAATACATAAATATATATAAATATATATTTATATATATATATATATAAAATATATGTAGGACACGTAAAATATATATAAAATATATTATAAATATATATCTATAAATATATAAATATATAAGTAATATAAAAATATCTATAATATACGTAAATATATAGAAAATATATAGAATAAATATAAAATACATTAAAGCATATATAAAATATATAAATATATAAAAGTAAAATATATATAGGACATGTAAAATATATATAAAGTATATAAAAATATATAAAGATATATAATAATGGTAATAATAATAGCAATAATAATGGCAATAATAATAACGGCAATAATAATAGTAATAATAATAATAGTAATAGTAATAATAATAATATTAATAGTAATAATAATAATAACCATACTGACAGTAATAATAGTAGTAATAATGCTAAAATAATAATTAAAATAAAAATAAAATAATAATAATAATAATACTAAAATAATAATAAAAATAAAAATGAAATAATAGTAATAATAGTAAAATAATAATAAAAATTAAAATATAATAATAATAATAATAGTAATAATAGCAATGACAGTAATAATAATAGTAATAATAATAATATTAAAATAAAAATAAAAATATAATAAAAATAATAAAAATAATAGTAATAATAATGACAGTAATAATAATAGTAATAATAATAATAAAATAAAAATAAAAATATAATAATAGTAATTTTCGTTATAATTATATAATATATATAATAATAATAATAGTAATTATAATAATAGTAATGATAATAATACTAATAATACTAATACTAATACTAATACTAATAATAATAATTATTATTATTATTATTATTATTATTATTATTATTATTATTATTATTAACCCCGGAATTTCCCCCTTTCCCACTCACTTTTGGCTGGAGAACATTCCCGGGATCTCCTTGGAGCCGGAATTTCCCAGGGGCAGCGACTTCCCGGAGACCCCTGGAAATAATAATTCCATTAATAATTCCATTAATAATTCCATAAATAATTCCATTAATCAATCCCATCAATAATTCCCGAAATAATTCCATTAATCAATCCCATCAATAATTCCCTAAATAATTCCATTAATCAATCCCATCAATAATTCCCTAAATAATTCCATTAATCAATCCCATCAATAATTCCCTAAAT